TAGATTGGCAGACTGGGGTGGTTGTTCCAACTATAGGGGGATCACACTCCTCAGCCGCCCTGGGAATGTCTATGCCAGGGTGCTGGAAAGTAGAGTCATTCCGTTAGTTGAATCTCGGATACAGGAGGAACAAGGTAATGTTCCTGGTCATGGAACACTGGACCAGCTCTTTATCGGCTCAAGGATACTTGAGGGTGCATGGGAGTTTGCCCAACCAGTCTACATGTGCTTTGAGGACTTGGAGAAGGCATGTGACCATGTCCCTCGGGCCATGCAATCCTTATACAACCGTTGCAGCTCCGCAATAAGCTGGACTTGTTTCCGGTTGGTGATGTACTCTGCCAGAGCCACCCTCTGCTCTGCATCTCTAGGTGTAGCCAAGTAGCACAAGGCTTTCACTTTGGAGGTCTCAGAATCTCATCTCCGCTTTTCGCAGATGATGTGGTTCTGTTGCCCTCATCAGGCGAATGGAACAGTTCGCAGCAGAGTGTGAAGAATGAGAATTTGATTTCAGCTTAAATATGCTCCGTGTTACACTTTACTTTGCTTTTACTAAGAGACTTTATAGGATATGAATGACATATTTATTGTTTGATTGTTTAGTCCTGTTGGATTATAAATAAAGACACTGCTCAGAAACGGACTGTTCTGTACTACCTGTCTAAACCAATCAAATGGAAGCTAATTAGTGGCTTTGAACATTTTAACTCCTTAGTACAAAAAGTAAGGTTTCCTTGAAGCAGTGCTCAGATGACACTCATGCATTTATTCTGCCAGTCAGAGGTTCATTCAACTAAATCAACCTGCAGCTAGTGTAGCCTGCAGGGACAGCCCTCTAAAGCGCTCTGCAGAAAGTTGATCACTAGAGATTTTGAGCATAAAGAGCCCAAGTCTCCAGTCAGCAAAGGTCTGAGACTTTGTGATGTCAGAGGAAGAACAGCATCACTAAACCAGATCTCATGAGGGGAAGCCGAGCCGAAAGCTTGAAACTGGAAATCTATCCATCCATCTATCAACTTCTAAATAATATGCAAATTAAATACACATTATAATTCATTTGATTTGTAGTTTTACACCCTGATTAAAAGCAAGAACAGTATAAGCAGGGCTCTGTACTACTATTACAGTACTGTTTTATCCAAGCATGAGCTCAGACAAGAAGCAAATGTGCACATTTAAAAAGCTTGGTCCAGCAGGTCCTGGGAGTGCAAAAACACTCGTAGCTAATGATCAGCAATTTACCATACTTTCTTATATCTGAGACTATTTTCAAATAGAGGTAAGAGAAATCATTCCACCTAGTAAATAATTTATTCCCAGGCAGCAGCTGAATGCAAATGCACATGACTTTTGCAAAGTGAACATATTAACACTTAGAGTCCCAGAGAGCATGTCTGTGTGCATGTGGTCATTCTTACAGTGCCGTCTCCTCCACAGGCCAGTATCCTTAGGTTATGGACTTTACGATACAGCTCCAAACTACAAGACAAAGGTCGATGGTTAATTCAGTTCATTCTAACACAGCCGATCAGCAGATATACAGTGGTGTGAAAAAGTGTCCGATTTCCTGGGTTTTTGGTATGTTTGTCACACTTAAATGTTTCAGATCATCAAAAAAATTTATATATTAGACAAGGACAACACAAGTATCATCAAACGAGGGTGGGGTGGAATTTTCCCTTTAATAATAAACAATAATAAACAGCTTCATTTAGTAACTGTATTTAGTGTTTACTCATATTATCTTCTGTTTATCTAATATTTAACTTTGTTTGATGATCTGAAACATTAAGGGTGACTAACCTTGAACAACAAATAGGAAATCAGGAAGGTGGAAAACATTATTTTACACAACATGTATATGTGCATGTGCATGTATATGTGCATGTGCATGTATATGTGCATGTACATGCACATGTACATGTGCATGTACATGTGCATGTATATGTGTATGTACATGTGCATGTGCATGTATATGTGCATGTGCATGTATATGTGCATGTGCATGTACATGTGCATGTACATGTGCATGTATATGTGTATGTACATGTGCATGTATATGTGCATGTACATGCACATGTACATGTGCATGTACATGTGCATGTATATGTGTATGTACATGTGCATGTGTGTGAGACACTAACCCCTCCTTTGGTCCTCCTTGGCTCAGGTCAAACACCTGTCTGGGGTTCAGATACCACATGAAGGACTGCAAAATCTTAGTGCCCTGACCAACAGAGAAGCAGTCAGTCAGACACACTTCGTCACAGTTTTTGTTCCTGTGAGTCCACAGATATGTTCATGTTTGTTTCATTGTGGCCTCAAACATCAGCAGTGACATGATTGATCACTAATGTTCTCTCTTTGGTAATGAGTTAGTTAACTACACCAAGTTATTATTTTACTTTTGTTTAGAATTGACTTTGTTTTAGTTTATATTTTAGTTATTTTTCCAGCTTTTGTCCTGTGGTTTACTGTTTTTATTTAAAATGTAAAACTTTCTGTTGCTAAAAACACCAGATCTAAATCATTTTGGACGAAAAGAGGACTACTACGAGGTCACTGACTGCATGCCTGCGCTGGTGTGGATCTGTTTCAAATCTGAGTACCTGGTTTCCTCCACTCTTGGGATTGACAAACACAAGCAGGGGTTTCATAAGTGGTGATGGGATGGGTCGGATTATGAATGGCTTCCACTGCCGCCCGTCCTGTCAGAGAAAAAACAGGATCTGCTCAGATGGTCAAAAGCACAGCAGCTGTTGTTCACTGCAGTATTTAGAAAATAGAATTAAGGACCGAAAACTAAAAGCTATTTTAGCTTCTCATTAGAAGACATCTGAAGGTTTCCTGTGCCAAACTAAAAGCAAGTCATGTCCTAAAAAACAGGCTTTATTAACCAGTCATCATGACAGAAACAATATTTAATGTGTGACTGTAGAACAGTGCAGACTGTTCCCGATTTGCTGCCTCCTCATAAACGTCCTGTTACACATGAAGTGAACATGGAAGAAGCTCTGCTTTGACTTTATGAGAATTCAATAAACTGAGTGCATCTTACGCACACTCACATCAACATTTTACTAAAACAAAAAACTAAAATAAAAATAGAAGGAAATAGAACTAGAGTTAGAAAACAGACTGATTGTGGTATTACAATCAATTACAATCATCTATAGCTATTCGTAAAAACATCCATCCATTCATCCTCTTATCATTTTCAGGGTCGCGGGGGGCTGGAGCCTCTCCCAGCTGTGGCTGTGAAGGTCCTCAGCCTCCAGGTCATCGAAGTTTGAAAGAGGAGTGAAAGAAGCATCTATGTCCGCTGTGACGGAACGACCATCTTTGAACAGAGGGCGGGGCTTACCACACCAACTGTCTGCCATCTATGATACAGCTTTGAGATCCTTCCCAGACGCCTTAACGCCCACTCACATCCTGGGCCACTTGACCTCAGGAGATCACATGATAGGGTGGGGCCAGGTCTCACAATGGGCCTTGGGGACACTCATAGGGCTTAAATCTGGGACTCTCCACCAATTGTCTCTTAGAACTGAGGAGTTTCTTCGGTTCTAAGAAACGTCTTCAAGAAACTCGAACGTCCAGACGCTTTTCTTTCCAAGCTCCTCAGACTACGATGACCGAGAAGCTTCACAGACGCTGGCTGTGTCTGTCCCAGCTGGGATAGGCTCCTCCCTATATTAGCTGTCTAGGGGGAGGGGCAGGGTACACCCTGGACCGGTCGCCAGTCTGTCGCAGAGCTAACACGTAGAGACAAACAACAACTCACACTCACATTCACACCAGTGGGCAATTTAGAATGACCAATTAACCTGACCCCACTAACGTCATGGAGAGTGGACGGAGGAACCCACGCAAACCTGGCCAGGTGGTGGAACTGAACTCAGGACCTTCTTGCTGCGAGGCAGCAGTGCTCACCACCGCACCACTGTACTGCCTTTAATGGAGTCATATAGCATCTTTACAACGTGTATAAATGTAGGTAAGGCACTAACGTTGATGCATGGACTGTACAAAGATGTCAGCATGTGAACCGGGGCTGAGCTTGCCCTCCGTGTTTGGATGATATCATCGGAAACGTGCTGTTCAAAGGTTCTTTTTCCAAAAATAAAATATATAAAGTGTTCGTGTGTTGATTTAAGATGACAAAGACTCACAAACACGAGACAGGCTTTGCTGTTTGCTTAAGACGTCAGAGTTCAAACTTCCTCTGCAGTGTGCCTTAGCCCACCCTGTAGCACAAGACTAACCTCTTTTTTGCTGCTTTTCCTCTTGAACGATGTTCTCTTTTTCTTTTTGCTGGACTTCATCGATGACTGTGAGATAGAGAAAAAGCAGCTGATTTCACATCATTTCATCAGGATGTACTGCCATCACTACTCCCCACAGTTCCTTAAAGTCCACTTAAAGGACCTGCAGTAACATGAAACCACTGATCTGACTGATGGCTGCCTGAATGACAGCAGACAACAAAATGACCTCATAATTGAAGCACTAAGAACAGCGTTACCTGATGGCGTTTGACCCGAATTATCCATGTGGGTGGAACTATGAGGGCAGCATGAGCACCCATTGGACAAGCTTCCTCAATTTGCTGCAGCATGAAGCAAGAAACCTTGTTGTGGTACTAATGGAAGAAATGCATGGTTATAATATGTGCATTTATTGAGCTCTGGAGACATGAACGGCATCAGTTTGGTACCCACAGCCTGTTTGCACCACGAGCAGCTGATGGCAACAATCTCTTTACTGTGGAACGCAAACTTCTGCTGGAAGCCCTGAAAGCACAGAAGGAGAAACTGCTATAACAATTAAACTTGTTTCCACTCCTGTTCAGTTAAAGATGCAAAGCAGATGTTTAGGACAACAGCGCTACTGCTCGTCAGTAAGACAATCATTTCCACACCTTCCCACACTGTCTGCATTTGCCTTCTTGTCGTCTCCGATGCACCCAGTGATGGCGAACCACAATGGGCTGAGCACACACAAAAAAACAGCAGAAATTTACAACACTCAGAATTCAACGAACATGAGTGTTTATAGCTGTGACTGTACGATGATCCAGCTGCAGCAGCAGGTTTGAACCCCAGAGAAAGAAAGAAACCAGAACTCACCTCTCGAATATTTCTGGATCCTGATTCTCTGAATGATGGTTTACACCTGAAATTAATCTGGAGCAGAGAAGAAGAAGAGGGTTACCGGGGTCTAACGGCACAGCTGAACACTGGGCCTCTGACTGGCACACTTCCTGGGTAAGCAGCACTGACACGCCTGTGGGACCAGGCCGGTTAGGTGTCATGTGTCTTACAGTTAAGGGTCGTGACTTCCTCAACAGGACTCGCTGACAGAAAGGAACAAGCAGACGGGACCCCCCAAGCAAGAATTACGTCACACAGGTGTGACGACACACATCTTTAGTTAGCACTGTGTAGCGCTACCTCCATCCTGGCATTGTGTCTGCAACCAATCGTGGCCCTTTTTGATAGTTTCCTACACCAGAACACTTTCAGAAAGCAGCTTCAGATCAATGACCTCCTTGTGTTTTCAGATCAAAGCACCCAAACCGTCAAGATTATCAGATCATCACACCACAAGAAAAACGAGAGGACCAAATTTGAAGGATTTCAGAAAAAAGGACCCTGACAGAAGAAGAATTTTCAGAGGACGTGTCTGCCCTGGATTAGCTTCCACGTTGATTCACTCAGTGTCTAAATACCTACACCTGTTCCCAGTGGAAATGACATCTCCATCAACAATAATTATTTTTGAGTGGCATATGCCAAACCACCCCTCATCCCATGCTGCTGTGCAGTGATTCATTATAATAGACTGATGTAAGGTTCAGAGCACCCACGATCAACCTGTGCATCAGGCCGAGGATCAGAGAGGAGGAGAGAGGACAGAGAAAGAAGACAAGGACGAGTTCTGTGTATCTCACTCTAAAGCTGGGGTCACTGACGGGTAGCGTGGCATCCATAAGAATAGCTTTAGAGCCGGGAAACTGCAGATCAGACAGGACGCTCAGTCAAACACAACCTGTTGTCCTCTGCTTACAAATGATGAATTCGACTGCACTGACATACAGAATCATCACCAGCTGCAATCAACACTGGATCCGTGTTAGTGTGTCCAACTCCAGTCCTGGAGAGCTGCGCTCCTGCAGCTTTTAGATGCATCCTTGTTCCGACACACCTGAATCTAATGAATGGTTTGTTATCAGGCCAAACGTGATGGCTGCCGAAGAGGGAATCCAACCATCGGATTCAGCTGTGTTGGAGTAGGGATGCATCTAAAAGCTGCAGGACTGGAGCTGCACACCCCTGCACTAGAGAGCGTTCAGTTTGCTTCACACTTCTCTGTGATAATAAAGGCACAGAGTCTCTGGGACAGAGACTCACCTTACTGGTAGTCATAAGGACTAATATACACCTCTGTGTCTTCATGTATCCTCACAGGCAGCGTTATACCTTCTCCAGTTGTTCTATGCAGACGGTGTGAGCGACGATCTTACAGGCAGCACACTTCCTTCGACTGACAGACTTTTGCTAGAAAGTAAAAAGGGAAAAGGTGATCAGCTCTGAATAGAAACATTGATTAACAATTAAATCACATGAACAGGAGAAAAAAAACAGGGTTCTTGTGTTGTAGTCGTTCATTTGCTTTATGAGGCTCAAAGAACAGCAGTCACTATGAAGCCTTAATTCCATCTATGACCACTGGGAGACAGTCCTGCACCACGTGAGTGAAACCACCACAGATACACAACATAGCAATGATATGACTTGACAGTATCTAAAAATATGACGGCTTTGTGCGTGTGATACAGCCAGCATGTGTCTGACAGTGATATGAGCTGACACGGTGCTGCAGGAGAGCAGCTTCAGTGTGCATGTTATTATTATAGAAACACAGTGTTTACTATCCCAGATGAATCAAAGCACTCAGGGGTTCAGGCCTCATACAGCCAGCAAATGGAAATAATAACTTTTCAGTCCAGTGGCTCAGGAGGTGGGCAGGTCTCACTCATATGCACACATTACAAGAACTATATTATCTATTGATTTACTTGTCGCTATGTCACTGAATGATAAGACAGAATACAGGAGAACCCAGGACGAGTTCATGGTTCAAACACAGAACAGCTGTTTTCAACAGAACCCTGTTATTTCCTTGTGATCGGACACTGAAGGCAGCCTGCAACCAGCACCGCTCTCCCCCACAGCCTGTGGCACCGACTCGGCTGCATCTTTTTACAAACCTTTGGACTTTTCACATATTTACAGATGTTTACAAAAGCAGCACTGCACTGATTTTTTTTTAAAACACAGTAGTGAAAATGCTCTCCCATCACCAACTGAAAAGGTCAAAGGTCATTTGCATCTGATTAGTCAACATTTTTATATTCAGCCGATGCCGGCTGAGCCCTTCAACTAAAATGAGGCCTGTGAGATTTTGGCTATTTGATTGTCCCTGACCGGCCTGAGTGAGGTCGACGGGAATTAGGATACAGACAGAAACAAGTATACGTCATGCAGGTTTCTCCAGCCACCAAACATGAATGAGTGCATGAGTTTACAGATGTACTGTAAATGTGGTGGAACAGCCTGTGGGAGATATTGGCTTGCTATCCCTGAACGCTAACGGCTCACATTAAAAAGAGAGACTGATGCAGAATGTAAAGTTTTTAATAAGAGCTGCACTTAAGTGTTTATGTGGTAGTGTCAGAGGTGGAGCTGTGTGCTTAGTTTGTGGAGAGCACGCTGCTGTGTTTAAACTACCATTACAAGACTGAACATGCAGAGAAACACAAGAACTCCACTGATCCAGAGCAGAACGAGCCAAGCAGACAATGTGGACGGTTTCTCCTGGAGACAGAAGCTGGCATGCTTGGATAGGCTAGGTGTGCTAGGTTGTTCTAGTCTGAAGGAGGATCTTGTTGTCACTAATGCAAATGTCCTTCACATCTCCATCTCAGAACTTGGATGCACGTGTTCGAGCCCAAACACCCTAGATATCGCTCGCCAATCAAGAAAAACAACTGAAAAACTTCAGATGAAGTCATTAAACTACAGGCAACATAACAATCTCACTCTATAGAAAGTTAAACCCTGAAATAAATGGGAATTCTGTCAAAGGGTTTTTGGGAATGTTGACTAAACCGTGATAAAATGTTGGAGTTCTTACTGTGCAAGTCTCACATGTGAAGATTGTAACGTCTCTTCTTACCAGCAGCACTTTATAAAGACGCCGAGTGCAGCTCATTGCTCATTCAGGGTGTCCCGTTAGGACTAGGGATGGGTACCGATATCCGGTGCCATTATAGCATGAACGGTAGTAACCTGAGCTGTGATACACTTTGGATACTAGCCAATCATTTTACCTTTCCAAGGATAGTAGGCGGGCCCAGGTTCTTTTAGAGCAGAGCTACAGATTAAAAATGCCCAAGGCGAAGCGGTCAAAGTCTGGCTGTACTTCACAGCAAAAGATGCAAACTCAGCAGCAACAAGTGCTTTAAGCTGATACTGTGATACTGTCAAAGGAGGTAACACCTCGAATCCGATGAAACACCTGGCGACGCATAGCGTTTTTTAAAAGCCGAGAAATGCGCCGTATTTGATAGCTTGCTGCGAGACCTCACACTGAGCACATCTACTGCGGGTGTGGTAAATCTCCATTAGTGAGTTAGCGCGGATCGCCCCGTGCGTGGGGCTAGATGGTGGTTATCATTTTGCAGAAAAAAAGAGACTGCTAAAAATAAAAACATGAGAGGTTTGTGTTCTCTATTCTTTAAGCACCGGCACCGTTTCAAAAGTACTGGTTTGGCACCGGTATCGGATAAAACCTAAACGATACCCATCCCTAATTGGGACTGGGAGTGTGATGCACACCTGCTAACTGGTGGTGCTAGCTGGTGGTGCTCATAGCTGTTTCCCTGCGTCCACAGAAGCTGGAAGGGTTGACCAGTCTAAATTCTGCTTCTTGTTGCTTCCAGTAACTTGTCATTTGTTTAAAGCTGTTGCCAAGAAAACTTAACAGTATGTTTGCTGAGCAGCCAGTACACACTGTGCAGGGAGATGCTTTCACACTGATCTCCTCCAGATTCTTATGCGTGTTCTCCGTAAGTCGGTTGCTTAGTTGTTGATGTTAATGCAAGGACTTGTAGAAAGCAGCAGACATTGAGCAGGTGCACGTGGAAGCATGCGACTGTATAAACATTCAGTGTAACACAGTAAAGAAAACCTGGAGCCATGTATAAATCACACTCTACCCCAAACAGAACAAAGCGCAGTGAGTGCAGGCGGCTGCACAGAACTCGGCCGGGCTGGAAACACACAGGCAGATACTAACCAGTAATCTGGCAATACAGTGCTGTTCTCCCACATAGCAGTAGTCTCCAGACACGTTTGTTTCAAACCAGATATGATCTCCATACACAGCTACCTCCTACAGAGACAAACATGGAGAGAGACAAAGAAGAGCTAAGAAAAGGACAGAAGCTGAAAGAAGAGCTGCGGTTCCTACGGCCCGTCAATGAAAGACCTGAAGTATCAGCTCACTGATGAAATGTGCACAGTGTTTGACAGAAGACATTTCTAATCACTGTGAAAAATCCTGTGAGTGAACCACGATCAGCTAGCAAGAAAAAAAACCCATACCCAAATGTTAATATTTCATACAGTATGATTCAGTCTAATGTGCTTCTCATTGGCAGACACAAGATGGACTGAAGACCCAC